CTGATGAACTAATGAAGTAGTTCTGAGTTGTGAGGGTCAATCATGAAAAATGCATAAGTAGACAAAGAAGGGATAGTTAAGTATTACCTTGTCATGTGACATATGCATAATTCCCCTTGTCTATTTTATTGAACTGCAAGTTTTGTGGTAAAAGCATTTTTCTGATGTCCTGCTTTCTTGTTCATCGGTCTTAACACGTCTTCAGGCATGTAAGAAGCTCAATCGAATTGAGCTTGCAGATTGTGAGATATATGCTTCTTGTGAGCCTTGTCCAATGTGCTTTGGTGCTATCCATCTATCACGCATCAAGGTATACATTCATGCCATAAGATTCTTTTTACCATAATTTTATTCTTTCGAACTGAAGTGTCTCCTTGTCGTTTCAACAACACTGACGCTTCTACCTTGTGTTGTTTGCACAGAGGTTGGTATATGGAGCCAAAGCTGAAGCTGCAATTGCCATTGGGTTTGACGATTTCATTGCAGACGCTCTCAGAGGTACTGGATTCTATCAGAAAGCTCAGTTAGAGATCCAGAAAGCTGATGGTAAAGGAGCCCTAATAGCCGAGCAAGTATTTGAGAAGACCAAAGAAAAGTTCTCCCTTTATTGAGAGAAGAAGAAAAACTACTGCTATCTCATCTCATTACTGATCCTGATGTTAATAAACTAATTAATGTTTTTCTCTGAATTATACATAATATTTCTCAGACACATTTTCTGAAATTGTATCTATCTGTTGAACTTAACATGGGGAGGGATATTTATCGCATTTTATGATTCTTCTTTGATTATCAGTAAACAGGAGGTCTTAGGCAAATATTGTTCCTGCAAAAACCATACAAGTATCATTTTCACCCCTTTTTTATATACAAAAAGAAAGTAAAAAAAAAACAAAAAAACACAAACGTACGACATGCGGGATGACTTCATTAACATCAAGTCAAGACTTGTGTTAATTAATAGTAGTAATTAACTAGAATATAGTCACTTCATTAAACTACTTTAAATATGGCAAGTTTATCAGTGAAATCCTGGTGTAAATTGTTCCTTTTTTATCCATATCGTTTATCTTGTATTAGCTTTCTTTTAGAAAGCATTTAACTAATTGACGACTTTGTCATCCCGGACATTCTGCCCGAAGTGGCAAAAAGTCATCTGCTGGTTTTGACGAGTCTCGCAAGCTTTTCCAGAGGCTTTGGACGGATGAAGACGAAATTGAGCTGTTGCGTGGATTTTTGGACTACACCACCCAGCGGGGCTTGAACACGTCTTCCCCGCAGCACCATTACGACACGACTGCTTTTTATGAGCAGATCAAGAGCAAATTTCAGCTGGATTTTAACAAAAATCAGCTTGTGGAAGTCAATGACTATTCATAGCTATTACCTTGATACCAAAGAAGAGTTCAACCCAATTCTATCCTAATTAATCCTGATTCGACATTAAAAGTATATTGATTATTTTCCCAATAACCAAATACCTTTGCTAGTAAATACTGCAAATTTGATTCCATCCATAAATCTATACCACATCAATTCGCTCGCTAAGTAGTACCTAACGTTTCTCAAGAGAACTGAAGCGTTATCCAAAATTTACAACGCTAGACTATGAAGCAATAGATTCTGCAGAATCAGGCACAAGCTACAGCAGAGACATAAAGATTGCTGCACTCCACTTTTAGCAATCGTTAAAAAGAAAAAGAGTAAGCAGCAGGGATTTAAATCAGAGGCAAGAAGAACTGACACTAACCCAACATTTTGGTCTTTGTATCATTTCCATTTCTATTTACAAAATAGACGAAACATCTATGTTGCAACGAAGTCTGCAAACAGGCAGCTGACTGAAAACTAATATTAGAAGTCATTATTTAGCAACCAAAAGCCTACTACATTACCTAAACCATCCACTGTCATTAACATCCTGGGGTAAAATTATCAACTAGAATTATTTCAATAAGTTGTATACATTAGAAAAGCAACATTTTCAAGTGTTACTTCCCATTGATCTCAGCTCCTCCAATTGTGCTTTCACCTGATCCTGAACAAGTTCCAATCTCTTCGAATACACCTCCAGCTCCAGCATCTGTTGCTTCCTCCATTTCTCATCCCTCATCATTTCCATGCTCATTGCACCTCCCCCAAACCCCAGCCCCATTGGACTCATCCCCAGCCCCATCGGACTCATCCCAATTCCTCCAAAGCCAAAGCCAAACCCTCTAGCAGACCCATTCAAATTGGCCACATTGTTCAACAGCTCCTTGAAAATAGGTGACACACAGTTCCTCACTGTTTCCTCAATAAGGTTAGGCACAGAAGCAGCCCCCGTGGTGGGAGCTGGTGCAGCAACTCCAGCCACCAAAGGTGCAGCAGTTCCACCAACAGGTGGTGTAGCAACTCCAGACACCTGTGGTGCAGCAACTCCAGACACTGGTGGTGCAGCAGGGACAGCTGCTACTGGGTTGGAGTTTGTGGCCGGCATTTGCACATTAATGCGAATCCCAGGTGGCTGAAAAGGCTGATGCTCAACTTTAACAGCTTCTAAAGGTATTGGGGACCTTTTATGTGATCTTGGGGTTTTGATGGCAATTCCATTAGGGTTAGAGTTAAGGTTAAACTTAGGGCTATGATAAAGCACAATTGAATCAGGATTCGGGTTAGGGTTAACATCCAAGTCCTCCTCCAATCCCAATCCAACACCCCCATCTTCTAGCGGTGGGGCGGAGAAACCAACAGAACCTCCTCCAGGGCTACTACGGGCATAAGAACCTCCAGTACTCCAGATCCTGTTAGAAATATCGAAAGTTACCTGATCATGAGCACTTTTAAAAACAAAATCCTTCCCAGATCCCATCTTGCTCACCACAGTCCTGTACTTCTTCTTCAGTCGGCGGAGTTTCTCCACAAGCTGGTTTTTGTTAAAATCCAGCTGAAATTTGCTCTTGATCTGCTCATAAAAAGCAGTCGTGTCGTAATGGTGCTGCGGGGAAGACGTGTTCAAGCCCCGCTGGGTGGTGTAGTCCAAAAATCCACGCAACAGCTCAATCTCGTCTTCATCCGTCCAAAGCCTCTGGAAAAGCTTCCGAGACTCGTCAAAACCAGCCGATGGCTTCTTTACCGCTCCGGGCAGAATGACCGGAATGGCGAAGTCGTCAATCCTTGGGCGTTTGCCCGGATTCATCATTCCAGCTCCGGAATCTCCTGTGGACACGCCGGCGACGGCTATGGTCACCTCACCGGCGATGGAGGGGGAAGAGGTGGAATCCTCATCGCCTTCCACATCCATATCAACCTCGTAATCGAGGTTGTCATAGGATGCCTGGTGATGACGATTTGGTACAGAATCCATGGTGGAAAGAACAATGTTTTTTTCTTTTCTTTTTTTCTGATGAAGAGAGGAGGAGATTTTAGAAGGGTGTGGGGCTCTAGGTTCAGTGGGCTAAGGTAAAAGTAGTAAACAGAGTGCGGCGCAAGAGGTTAGGCCGAAAGTAAAGACACATGGTCACAATAGTAAAGACAGATGGTCACAAGCTATTGGTTAATAATTTGAGGTTAGTTTCGTGAAAGACTTAATTTGGTACAATGATTCACTAGATCGGCGCGTTGTAGCCGGTAGCATTTACCGGGTTCCCTACTAAGCCGGTGCCCGGTGAGCATTTTTTTTTTTAAAGGTCTCCTCTCACCTACTTCACTTTTCACTCATAATTAAAAGGGTACGTTGACTTAGTTAAAGAAAATTAAATATTTTATAAACAAAAGGGTTCCCTAATTTAATTGAGATAAATAGAAGTTAATATGTGATGAAATCATACTTTGTTCATCGACTAACAAATATTACTCTAGTTAATTTTAATTAAAAATTTAACTTAAAAAAAAGGGATTAAATATATTATCGAATTTTGATACAAGACTTAATCATGTCATTTTGTTAAAAGTTTGGCTCAGTCTATAACTTTTAACGACTGGAATGATAAATCATCAATTCTAGGACTCTTGCCATAATTCATCATTAGAGGTGCAAAATTCCGGTGGAGACACTGGCGACCGCTATGGTCACCTTATCGACAATGGAGAGAGAAAAGTTAGAGTTATCATCACCCTCCACGTCTATATCTACATCATAATCGAGATTGTCATTATTGTGGATGGTGACTAGGATTCTAGTTTTTCTCCGTCCTACAACACTGACAACCTCGATTATGAGGTTGACATGGACGTGGAAAGTGATGAAGACTCTAAGTCTTCTCCCTCCATTGCCAGTGAGGTGGCCATATCGGTTGCCCGTGCCTCCACCGGAGATTCTACCGCTCCAATGATGAATCATGACAAGAGTCACATAATAGATGATTTTGTCATCCCATCACTTAAAAGTTTGATTCATTTATGTCATTTCAGTTGACAAATAACAACATAAATGAACATTTTTTCAAACAGAAATGACGTAGATGAACCAAACTTTTAATAACGGACATAACTAAATCTCTTCTCAATGTTCGATGTATAATTTAAACCTTTTTCAAGTAATCAAATTTTATATTAAAATTAACAAATATTTATTAGTCGCTATTTACTAGGAGATCATTTCATCACATATTAACCTGTATCCTATCTCAAATTCCCAATTAACCTTTTTGTTTAAACATAGCTTTGTAATCGATGATTTTGCTATTTCATTCGTTAAAAAATTAGTTTATCTATGTTATTTCACTTAATAAATAAAGTCACGAATGATTCTTTTACTCAAACAAAAATGATATATATGAATCAAATTTTTATAAATAAATAACGTAAATGAGTTTTTTCCCTCAAAATTGATAGCATATTAGAACCTTTGTAAATGCTTCGATTGAATAACTAAAAGAAGATGCTTATATAAATATTTTTAAAAAAATATTATATTATTAAAAAAAAATTGCTTAAATAAAAATTTAATTTTATTACCAACATAGTTAAAAAAAACTCAAATATTCAAATTAACAGAGCAGGGTGCATGCTAACCTTAAAGTAAGTTTTGGAGGAGAACAAATTGAAAAGTATAGCACTTACCCATGGCGTTTATTCCTCAAATATAAAGTTACCTTTGTTAGGAAATATTTTTATCCTTCAATGTAAGACTTGCATCTTGAACTTTAATGGAAATATCGAATACACTGAATGAAAAACAAAAGAATATATATTTAACATTAAGTCTAAATTATAATATAATACAATTTAATGATCAACAAAAGTACAGTGCGATAGTTATCAGAGATATATATGATTATTAAGGCTTCTTGAGTTCTTTCTCTTATTCTTTTTAATTTTTTTGTTAATTTATTTGCTAGTGTCTAATAACTTTTACTTATATCAAAATATCCGTTATTGTTAAATTAAATACAATTTTTTTTCATACCTCATAAACAACCGTTAATTCCAGGCCATCTCGTATTCGAATTTGTCAATCCTTCCGTGGCCAAAGTTCTACCTGTAAATCCAAATCATCAATTAATTATTCAAAAATTCTTATAGCATATCATAAAAAAATTCATAACAAACTTGTTTATCAAAAAGCAACCTAACACAATTTTTATGAGAGATTATAGAGAATAAAATGAAGGGAAGGGGTTCAAAAATTTCTTTAAATTGATTTCATTATAAAGTTTGCCTACGTATCCAACAAACATCATCTTTGGTATTTATCAAAAAGATATGTCTTGTATCTTATTTTCTCTCATGTTAATTATACATTTTTAATATTAAAAAAGATAAATTATGGAAAGAAGAGAAAAAAATCAATTGCAAATTCATTATTTTTATTAATATTAAGATGCACGTATATGATAAAGAAAAAATGAAGTAAACACGAAAATTATATAACATTCATTGAACACTTGTAATTATAAGATGGTGTAAGAGAAAAAGAGAAAAGGAAAACTCACCAAAACAATGCGAATAACATATGTGAAATAGAATTATTGTGAAATCTCAAGCTAGAAGCGATGAAATTGATGGAGAAAAAAAAATAAAGATGAATCTGCAAAAAAATTAAACCGAATGTTAGAGAAAAATCTAAAAATCAAATCGTAAAAAAAAATAGAGAGAAGAACACGAGAGAAGGAAAGCAAATAAACATCAATATTACAACTAATATTTTGATGACGATGACACTAAAACTCTAAAATGTAGTATAAGATAGCTGGATCTGATTGAAATTATATGTATAACCTTCTTTTTCCTTACGAAATATATATATATTATCAAAGAATATCATTAAAAACTTATAACGGTAAAGAGTAAAACAAAAGAACGGATTGACAAAAAACACATCACAACTACATAATTAACAAAATTGAGAATAAAATTATAATGAAATCGCAAGCTAGAATTATAATGAAACTTCAAGCTAGATGTGATGAGGCTGAAAGTGAAAAGGAAATAAAGATGAATCAAAACAAATGTTAGAGAGAAGTCTAAACATCAAACCCTCAAGAAACGATATAAAGAAAAAGGGGCGGCGGAGAACACGAGAGAGAAAAAATAAAGAAGCATAGAATGTAACGGATGGAATGACTCATATTTTGATGACGATGACACTGAAACTCTCCAAATGTAGTATGAGATAGCCGAATCCAATTGAAATTATAGATATTACCTTCATTTTCCTGACGAACCACACGTATATCATCAAAGAATATCACTGAATTAATACTTATAACGGTAAAGAGTAAAAGAAAAAAAGAGAAGAGAAAAAACACAGATCTGAGAACAAAATTATAATGAAACCGCAAGCTAGATTTATAATGAAACTTCAAGTTAGATACGTTGAGATTAAAAGTGAAAAGGAAATAAAGATGAATCAACAAAGAATTATAACAAATGTTAGAGAGAAGTCTAAAGATGAAACCATCAAAAACGATATAAAGTAAAAGAGGCGGCGGAGAACACGAGAGAGAAAAAACAAAGAAACATAGAATGTAACGGATGGAATGACTCATATTTTGATGACGATGACACTGAAACTCTCCAAATGTAGTATAAGATAGTTGAATCCAATTGAAATTATAGATATTACCTTCATTTTCCTGACGAACCACACGTATATCATCAAAGAATATCATTGAATTAATACTTATAACAGTAAAGAGTAAAAGAAAAAAGAGAAGAGAAAAAACACAGATCTGATAACAAAACTATAATAAAACCGCTAGCTAGATTTATAATGAAACTTCAAGCTAGATGTGATGAGGCTGAAAGTGAAAAGGAAATAAAGATGAATCAAAACAAATGTTAGAGAGAAGTCTAAACATCAAACCCTCAAAAACGATATAAAGAAAAAGGGGCGGCGGAGAACACGAGAGAGAAAAAATAAAGAAGCATAGAATGTAACGGATGGAATGACTCATATTTTGATGACGATGACACTGAAACTCTCCAAATGTAGTATGAGATAGCCGAATCCAATTGAAATTATAGATATTACCTTCATTTTCCTGACGAACCACATGTATATCATCAAAGAATATCATTGAATTAATACTTATAACAGTAAAGAGTAAAAGAAAAAAAGAGAAGAGAAAAAACACAGATCTGATAACAAAACTATAATAAAACCGCTAGCTAGATTTATAATGAAACTTCAAGCTAGATGTGATGAGGCTGAAAGTGAAAAGGAAATAAAGATGAATCAAAACAAATGTTAGAGAGAAGTCTAAACATCAAACCCTCAAAAACGATATAAAGAAAAAGGGGCGGCGGAGAACACGAGAGAGAAAAAATAAAGAAACATAGAATGTAACGGATGGAATGACTCATATTTTGATGACGATGACACTGAAACTCTCCAAATGTAGTATGAGATAGCCGAATCCAATTGGAAATTATAGATTTTACCTTCATTTTCCTGACGAACCACACGTATATCATCAAAGAATATCATTGAATTAATACTTATAACGGTAAAGAATAAAAGAAAAAAAGAGAAGAGAAAAAACACAGATCTGAGAACAAAATTATAATGAAACCGCAAGTTAGATTTATAATGAAACTTCAAGTTAGATGCAATGAGATTGAAAGTGAAAAGGAAATAAAGATGAATCAAAACAAATGTTAGAGAGAAGTCTAAACATCAAACTCTCAAGAACGATATAAAGAAAAATGGGCGGCGGAGAACACGAGAGAGAAAAAACAAAAAAACATAGAATGTAACGGATGAATGACTCATTTTGATGACGATGACACTGAAACTCTCCAAGTGTAGTGTGAGATAGCCAGATCCAGTTGAAGTTATATATATTACTTTCGTTTTCCTGACAAACCACACATATATCATCAAAAAATATTATTGAATACTTATAACGGTAAAGAGTAAAAGAAAAGAAGAGGAGAAAAAACACATCAAAACTACAGAGTAACAGATCTGAGAACAAAATTATAATGAAATTGCAAGCTAGATTTATAATGAAACTTCAAGCTAGATGCGATGAGATTGAAGGTGAAAAGGAAATAAAGATGAATAAACAAAGAATTATACCAAATGTTAGAGAGAAATTTAAAGATCAAACCCTAAAAAATGATAAATATAAAATTTATTTTTCGCACGAACTACTTATATCATCACAAAAATGCTTATAACTGTAAACAGTGCAAGTAAAAAAGAGAAGAGAAAAAACACATAAAAACTATACAAGCAACAGATTTAAGAACAAAATTTTACTGAAATCGCAAACTAGATTTATAATGAAACTTAAAGCTAGATGCGATGAGATTGAAGGTGAAAAGAAAATAAAGACAAATCAACAAAGAATTATATCAAATGTTAGAGAGAAATCTAAAGATCTAACCCTTAAGAACAATAGATATAACCTTCATTTTCCTTACAAATCACACTTATATCATCAAAGAACATCATTGAATACTTATAACTATAAAGAGTGCAAGAAGAGAAAAGAAGAAAAAAACACATCAAAACTACATAAGTAACAAATCTAAGAACAAAATTATACTAAAATCACAAACTAGTTTTATAATGAAACTTCAAACTAGATTCAATGAGATTGAAAGTAAAAAAGAAATAAAGATGAACCAACGAAGAATTATACCAAATGTTAGAGAGAAATATGAAGATCCAACCCTAAAGAACGATAGAAAGAAAGAGGGTAGGCGGAGAACTCAAGAGAGAAAAAGTGAAGAAACATAGAATGTAACGGATGGAACCCTCATATTTTGACGACAATAACACACAAACTCTCATTAAGTAGACAGATGATTAGATCGAAATTACAAAAATAACTGTCGGTGTCATTATGACCCTTACTTGTATCATTGAAAAATCTTCACGTTATTATCATTTCAAGTCAAACCGCCAAATACCACATATACTTTGAAATAATTTAAATTTAAATTTGTTGATTAATGATTAATTATAAGTTTAATTCTTATAATATTTGATTAAATATATTTGATTTTTAACTCACTGAAATCTACGCTTTTGATCTCTTTATATAGAAAGTATATATAAAAACTATATTTATAATTATACTAGTCTTTGAACACGTGCGTTGCACATATATCCATATAAATTGACATAAATTAACGCACATGTATCCATCTAAATTGACATAAATTATTTCAAATTATTGTTGTATTAAAAATAGTTTTATAATACATTACATGAATACCATTCATTTTCAAACAAAAATAGTTTAAATATTTGGAATTACTCGATAATTGGGATCAATAACAAATTTAAATGTGATAGCAAAATATCTTCTCCAAATGAAATAAAGATGATAATGACAATAACACACAAATTCTCATTAAGTAAAAAGATGATTCGACCGAAATTACAAAAATAACCTTCGGTTTCATTATGACCCTCACTTGTATCATTAAAAAATCTTCACATTATTATCATTTCAAGTCAAACCACCAAATACCACATATACTTTGAAATAATTTAATTTTTAGTTCACCGATCAATGATTAATTATAATTTAATTCTTATGATATTTGATTAATTATTTAATTTTTAATTCACTAAATTCTATGCTTTTGATCTTTTTATATAAAAAGTATACAATAAAAATTATATTTATAATTATACTAGTCTTTGAACACGTGCGTTATACGTGTATCCATTTAAATTGACATAAATTAACGCACGTGTATCCATCTAAATTGACATAAATTATTTCAAATTATCGTGTATTAAAAATAGTTTTATAATTACACATGAATACCATTCATTTTCAAACAAAAATAGTTTTAATATTTGGTATCTGCTCGATATCTTGGATATCAATAACAAATTTAAATATAATAGCAGAATATCTTTCCTCTGAATGAAATAAAAGATGATAATGTTTAGTACTTTAAAATACTAGAATTGTTAATACAAATTAATATATGTATATTCTTATCTCATATTTAATACCTGCAAGACAAAGTTCAAAGAAAAAAGGATAAAAAATAAAAATAGAATTGATAAAATAAAATGAAGGCTACAATTAATAATCAATCATATCAAGTATTGATCTTACCTAATTAATTTTTTTTTAGAATAAAGAAATAGAGCATCAACGAAGTTACAACTTAAAATATGAAATAGTATCAAAAGTTGAAACATTGAACTTGCCTTTCTCAAAATGAGAGCTAATTTCTTATTTTAGTTCTTGTGTTATTTAACTTAGCACTATTAACCTTTAATTGTATCAAGTGAGTGATTTTAATCATTCAACTAACAGATCCAAAAAAATTAACAGAGAGTTCACTACTAAAAGAGGTAATTCGGATATTTTATAGTGATTGCTTGAGAAAGCAGCTTTTTATTTATAAAAAAATCATTTGTTGCATAATTTATCGTTCGTCGGTGTGAGAGGGAGGGTTAATGCCTATCAAGTTGGTTTTTGAAATTGTAGCTCAAATTGACGGACTTGGTCTTCTAGATAGAGACGAGGAATACTTAGCTTGTTCTTAAAAGAGAGAAAATAAAAAAGGAAATACCCAAACTGTCCCTTTTAGAGGTAAACTCTCTGTTAATTTTTTTTGAATCTGTAAATTGAAGGACTAAAATCACTTACTTGATATAATTGAAGGTTAATAATGCTAACTTAGATCACACGAGGTCTAAAATAAGAATATAATCTTAACACAAGAACTAAAAATACCATTTCCCAAAAATAAATAAATAAATAAGGATAAATATTTTTATCATAAATAGACAAAAGTTAGATAAGTGTAAATTAATGGCTGATTTTTTAATAATACATGAACCACGTTAAATTACTTGTAAATTTTAAATTAACATTTGAAATTCTAAAAAATATGTTTGTTTTTTTTGCATTAAAGCATTACTGATTGCATAGTAATTTAGTTCCTCAGCATAAATTATTAGAGGAACAATATTAATTTTGTGAACGAAAATGGTCATTTAATTTTTTTAGAAATATTTAATATTTAATTAATTATTTTTTTAAAAAAAAAATAGAGCAAGAA